ATATATATGAATAACTACAGGAAAGTGTCTCTGGACACAGTAGGGCAGACACATATATGATCTCCACAAGAGTTGTGACTGCATTCCCATGACCAGTGCAAGCTCAAGTTAGAGAAAATCCTAGCATGGGGACTGGAGGTGACATGAAGTCCCACCCCTAGCCAAGGTATAGACAACTGATAACTATTCAGAGGAGAGTCAGTGTTAGGAGTGTTGTTACTAGTAAATTGAATATGGCCCAGCAGAATGCACAGATCCAATGATATATATTTGCATTGTGCCATTGGCAGAAACCTGCAGGACCCTATGTGTAAATCATGTGTTCAATTTCTCCATCAGAGATTGACACCAGTGTTCAGCTAAGCTGCTTTGCAACTTCTACTTCTACAACACCTTGAACTAGACATTGAATTCTCTTGTAGGGAAAAGAGAAGTCAAGGCTAATCTGTCAGAAGTAGTATTTTTATATAAAACCCTCCCTTCTGCTCACATGTTTCCTTTTACAGGCCCCATCACCCCCTCTCCTGGAGGAACAGAGCTAGAATGAGCACTTCATTGATCCTGATAAGGGAGAAAATTTACTCTCCTTTTCACTCACCAAGGTCTCAGGTACAGAAATTAGAGATGAATAGTCCTTATATTCCCCATGCTGCTCTAAATAATATCTAATGTTGATGAGATCAAGAATCAGAGACGGGAGATTATGATGATAAGAATACAGAGTCAAGAAGGAGCTGAGACAAAAAACAAAACAAAACAAAGAGCTTTTGGTCCCTAACTTTCCACATTAGAAGAGGAATCAGTTACTCACTAGTTTTGGAGTCTGGTTCTCTGCAAGAAGTGTAGTTTCTTGTTGAGTTAACTAGAGAAGGGGACAGGAGAGGGAGAAAGTTCATCAGAGGCTGTCTGCCTTCCCCTTAAGGAAAGTTTTTAAATTTGGACAGTGACCACCACCCACTCCACCTCTTAGTGCTGAGCCTGTAGAGTTATAGGGTGACATTTAGTGGATTGCTTCTGGGTGTTGGCTCTCTCTTTGGATTTCAAGTTTTGATGATTCATAGGACTGCTGTGGGAAGATCTATGTGAGCAAGAGTTCAGGAGGGCTGCTCCATCTCTGCTCTGCCCAAAGAGATATGAAGCTCATCCCTAATGCGTCTGTACTGACCCATTTTTATATCTGCCTCTATACATAGCTATCCAAGTGTGGATGCAAAGTCATATAAATAGTTTTTGGGAGACTTCTTTCTGTTATTTTGTAATCTGCTACCAAGTCCCCAATTCCATGTTTTTTTTTAAAGTTTTTCAGTTGAAATATAATTCTTTCCCTTTTTTCTCTCCAGTCCCTCCCAGCAACCCTTCTTCCAAGCTTTCTCATATCCCCACACCACTCTTTAGTTGATAGCCTCCTTTTCATTGAAAATTATTGTTATGTGTATATCTAAAGATATGCATATTCACATATATATGTACACATGTCATATATACATACATGTACATATATATCACATATTCATGCACACATATATAAAGGTAGCACACACACACACACATGACATTAGCACTCACAGCAATCCTTCTCTGTAGCTCTCAATGCTACTTTCTCTCTAGCATCGATTGGAGGATTCTGAGACATGGCTTCAGGATTTCATTAGTCACATGGTATGAGATATATATGAAGTTCTCTTACCTGTGACAGGAAGGTACAAAGGGTCACTTGGGGTTGACCACAAATGGGAAGAGTTCCTGAAAGAGCCATAGCATCTATAGTACCCAGCCTGGACCATAGGACCAAGATGGAAGTTGGCTTGGAATGTTCCATTGTGGCTCTTCACTGAAGGCAGCCCATGTTTCTTGGGTACCTTTTCCCTGGACAGATGGAACATGTCAAACTGAAGGTCAGAGACACAGGACAAGGTCATGTTCTCTCCTGACATCACCACAGGACCCATCAGAGCTGACAGAAAAGGTTTCTTGTATAAACCTGGAAGAAAAGAGGAAGAGACAGTTAGTTACCAGTGTTCATTCACTCCTCAATGTTCCCTCTGCTTGCATCTATTTCTTTGATCTCTCTCTGCCTTTTACCACCTCCCTCTCTCTATTTCTCCATTTCTTTTCTCCTCTCTTACTCTCCTTCTCACTCTTTATTTCTATGTTACCATCTTTAGTCTATGACCTCACTCTGGACTCAAATATTTTTGCTTAATGGTATTTTCTGCCTCTATTTGCATGGGTTCATTCCATCTGTATTTTAAAGTTTGTTGTTATGAGCATAATTAATTTTATCTAGCAATAACCTTCATAATGGAATATTCATATGCATGCATAACATATTTTTATGCTTGTTTTAAGTTTTGAAATTGAACTATATATCATTTAGTGTTTTAAAAATTGTTACATATATAATTATAGATGTATAATATTAACCATATTAAGGCTAGTATTCTTTATTGCCCTTCTACTTCCAATAATCACATTCATTTTACTAATTGGTCTTCTCTATATTTCAGTTTTTCCAGTTGTTTTGCAAGTCAATGGGCTCAATTAGATTTACTCATTATTACTCCTTTCTGTTATTTTGTAATCTGCTACCAACTCCCAAATTCTATGTTTTTTTTTTTACAAAAGAATCTGCTACCAACTCCCAAATTCCATGTTTTTTTACAAAAGGTTTTCAGTTGAATTATAATTGTTTCCCTTTCCCCTCCCTTTCCTCTCTCCAGTCCCTCCCAGCAACCCTTCCTCCATGTTTCTCATATCCCCACACCACTCTTAAATTGATATCCTCTTTTTCATTGAAAACTATTATTATGTGTATGTCTAAAGCTATGCATATTCACATATATATGTACACATGTCATATATACCCATACATATATAAATACATGTACATATATATCATATATGTATACACACATGTATAAATGTAACACACACACACACACACACACACACACACACACACACA